TTTACTAAATTTGAGGCTGTCCAAGTTGTGCCTATTTACTGCAAAACAAGAAAACAGAATAAAGAGAAGCCCAGTTACTTTCTTGAAGTTATGAAGAGATCGAATAAAAACAGAACTACTTTTTTTTCTTTTTTTTATAAAAGCACAAATTACTGGGCAAAATTGTGTTAACTCATTCAACTGTAGATTAAACAAAATTGTTAGCACGCTGTAAGACGCTCTTCCGGCTAGATGGCAGGCCGAACCACGAGGTGTCGGCATAGCAGGGATGGGGGCTGGTCACAGTCTGGGTGTAAATCCAGGGTATGGGGGAGGCCAGAACCGAACCAATTGTTATCGGTAATAAGGCAGAGGTTACGGTAATGAAAGACTGGTTCATTCCACTCTGGTATTAGCAATAAAAAGTGACTCATGGTCTGTCTGTGTTGTGGTGCCGGTTATAATTTTTACCCTGCCCCCCCCCCCCCCCCCCTTATTGAGAAAGGAACAGAGCTACAGTGGGTCTATTAAATGGTACTGTAGACAAAACATTGGACATACCTTTGTGCTAAATGTCTCTATATTGTATTCCTTGCCTCTTACCCCTGATGTTGTGTCTAATACCTTAATTTGCAGCAGCAGTCTGAGTGCCGCATTAGGGGAAGAAGATTAAGCGAGGATCACGGCAGGTTATGTTTCTGCTCGTGTTCTCCGAGGGCAGAAAGGAAAGTGCAGCCTTAGTGCAGCTTTTCTCTGAGCAAAGTGGCTTTAAGCATTTAATGAGTGTGATCAGATGTTTTTGTGTGTATGAGTATAGAGATACTCTGCTCAGGAAAGTGTTTTTCAAAAGGACATTTAGCAGCTAAAACATACCTTTAACATTTTTCATTTGCATCAAGCGCAGCAAGGAGAAGATTCGTAGAGGCTGCGATGAACAAACATTAGATTCTCATTGGAACAGAAGCACCTCGTTTGCTAAATTCTCTAGGGTGCTTTCTTCGTGAACCCTGGCTTTCAGGATGTCGTTCATTGTCTCGTTAGGGACGAGCGTCCTCCAGATTTTTAATTACCCATCCCATAAAATGCTATGTCTTATTCCTCCACGTAATGACGTGTATTCTAAGGATGGCCTGGAAGATGTAACAAATGTGCAATTAGAAGAACTTCTTGGTCCTCATGAACAGATGTATTATTATATTCGGTGCCGATGTGGACGCCCGGTGACCATCCAGACGGCATTTCTTTAGCGTGTGCCGTCTGCTGTCTGGGTTTTCAGGATTCTCAGAGGCATGTTCATTTCTGTGACGACTGAGCCCATCTACCTTGTGGCTGGCTGTCCTCCTCTTCCTATTTTTTTTTCCTTTCCAAGCATTACGGTTATTTCTAACAAACTGGGTCTATGCCCAAAAGAAGGTCCCACTTCTGTCTAGTCATTCCTGCTTGAGCTATAAATGAACGGATGTATATTTATTAGTGGTAAACAGAGGTACTGCTTTATGTGAAGGGTCACACCAAATGGGAGGTCCGTGTAATAGCAGCATGTTCATTCTGTTGACCGAACATCCTGATCAAGGCTGGATATACTGACTAGGGATTTCAAATGCCTCCATCAACACACACTTTAGAATAAAACTGCTGAGAGTTTGGATTCTGTGCTGCATGTGTTTTTGTATTTCATCGAGATGTCATCCAGAAGAATCTTAGACTCCATCCATCCATCCATGCATCCATCCATCCATCCATTTATCCAATAATAGATATATATACAGACCCTCCTCTACTTACAAACTTTCAACTTACAAACTTTCAGACATATGAACAAAGAGGTCTGTAAATCCAAATTATGTTCATTGGGCTCCCGTTTCCAGTCCGCAACATCAATCTTTTTTCTGTGCATCAATTCCGCCTAGTACAACTTCTGGCCGCTAATCCCGCAGCGTAGTGTGCGTACTCCCAGCTTCCTAACCCTTAAAATGATGTTGAATAATGACTTATGAACATTTCAAATTACGAACGGCCGTTCGGAACGTATCTCATTCATAAGTAGAGGAGCGTCTGTGTGTATGTGTATGTATATATATATATATATATATATATATATATATCATGTATACTTTAAGTCTTGCTTCTTGGATGACATTAATTAAATATGGGAAATTCAGGAAAATAAGGCATAAGAACCTCAGGTATCTGGGAAGAGGATTCTCTGCAGACACTAAGCATCTGTCATGTGTTTATACTGTCTGTGGTTGTTGGCCTAATAAGCACAAAACCAGTCGAAAGCAACACAGAGGCCCAAGAGTCATTTGACTGGAGTCCCCTGCATTCCTGGCCAGGCAGCCCCGCGTCTCACACAGTCTAAACAGATTCGTCACACAGACCGGCCCGAGGCGGTATGGTGGTCAGCCACTGCCCTGTCCGCCTGTCCTGCCCAACAGGGGTTAAATCCGAACCAGAGCCCCTTCCTGCCAGCATGCTGGGCCAGAGACAAACATTTATCCAGCGTGGAACCTACGCTCTCCCAGCAAGCTGTTCTGCTCCATTCAGAGGGACGAGAGAACCAAGAATTGTATCAAATGGCTGCAGTGTCTGCCAGCTATGTGTGGTTTGGGGGATGGGGTAGGGCGAGGGGGGGTGGTTACCCTGGTCTGCTGATGATGTCTAGTCCAGTGGAGCATACTACAAATGTCAACATTAAGTCACATATTTCATATATCTGCACTCAATTTCCTAAATAAGACCAAGTCAGTCTGGGAATTTCCACAAGTTCTGCAATTAAAAATTAATTATATTCTCCTTCTTCAGACTTTATTCCCAGATATTGTCTATTTATTTTGATTGGGTTGGCCCATTTTAATACAGACAGATCATTTCCAAGGTAACGCGTTTAATATACTGCGGTACAGGATGGTAATACCAGTCTCACAGGTCAGATACATGTTGGTGTTCAGTATATTTGCATGATGCCTTCCTTGCTTCCATGGTTTCATGTTTATCTGTTGCACTTTCATTGTGTAGATGATTTTATAGGGATTTGCCTTAAAATGAAATATGAAATATGCCTTGGCACTGGCAGGGATAAAAGGGACAGTGATGTCGTTCCACACATAAATGTCAGTGAAGATCCCTCTTCATCATCACCAGCAAATGGACAGCGAGCCTCTTTTGTCTTCTGTGTATTGATCTGGCCATGAGAGTGTAGATTTGTATCTCTTAATTAATGCGCCCTGAAACAGAATTTGTATTAATCAACCAGATAAGAAAAAATTGGTCCCTCGCAGTCTCAAGACAGCCAGAAGTAAAGACACACAGCCCCCCCCCCCTTCCCCGATAAAATCACCAGTCAGATCTCGGGAAAAAACGGACGGAAAAAAGTTCCCACCTTCCACTCAATAAACTAATCATCCTGCTTTTAATTATTCGGCGGAGGAATGTGTGGCAATTCCGGAATGTGTAAATCTAATTATTTACTAACAGCAGAGCCTGGGATTGGATCGCCACGGGAAAGTGTTCCAGGCAATAGGCTTCGTCCATCTGCTGCCTCGCACCCCCCGCTCCGTCCCCATTACCCACGACTACACCATCACGCCACTTGTCCACTTCGTTCTTCTCGTCCATAATTTGCTTAACCTCAGCTAACCTTTTTTTTCCTCTCCCCACTCCCTCTCTTTTTGTCTGTTTTTTCCCCCGGTGTGTCACCATCATAGGGGCTCTTCGGGCCGGTGCTGGATGCAAGCTTTCTCTATATCGAGTTTCGGCTTCCTGTCCTCTTTTAATCCTTGATATTGTAGATAATGCTTTGTTTTATTTGACGCGGGACATAAGTGCTCTCTTGTTAAGTCTTGACTTCCTCTCCATCGGGAATCGGTCTACAAGGACTCATAAACACACCCATACGCGTCTGCGTGTTCACTGCTGTGGGATGTTTCTGTAGGTGCTCCTCACTGAGCTGGTCACCCTCTCTGGAGACGCCCCACCCCCCCCACGTTAATACACAGCAGCCTCGGCCTAAATACCCCCTTTAAGAAGTTCTCCTCTAATTCCCTTTGATGATTTTATTAAGTGGATGTGGGTGTTCCTGCCAATTGGCAGTGCTGAGGCTCCCAGCCAGCAGGCCAGGAAAAGCACCAACTGCTCTTTGTTGTCTGGCTGCCCCTAATGAGATCAGAGATGTTCACACTTCAGGACAGTAAATCAGCGGTGTGGGATAAACAGTAGCGGAAGGAGCGCACGCGACGGCCCCCTGTGCCATTGGCGACGGCCTCAGTGAAGGGGTCCGGGCTCCGGCGCTCCGCTGCAAAGGGACCCTCACACGATGGTTATCAGAGACTTTCTGTCCAATCACTTACCAGAGAAGTCGTGACGGGAAATCGGATTGCGTCCCCGCTAGGGAGGTCCGACAGTGTGGAGGGAGTCAGAGGGCAGTCAAATTCCCAGAAATACTCATTAATTTGCACTGCTTTTTCCCTGGCTTCAGTGCTGTCATTTCAATGGAGAAAATATGTTCATTTTTAATCTTCCTAAAGACACAACTTATAAAAAGTTTAATGTGCGAAATAAATAGGCAATCCACGTCGACAGCTTGGTGCAGATTTGTTTATGCTCATGTGATTTTATTAATTTTTCTGGCCCAGGATCAATAAAAAGCTAATAAAAACATTTCTAACTTGCTTTTCCCTCCAAGAATTTTTTTTTTTTATTTTATTTTGAAAACGAGCAATATTATGCTTGTAATCGGTTTTTCGGCTGCACTGATTGGTTGGGATTGATCTATGCCGCAGGCTGGGGAGATATGACAGCTCCCCCGCAAGGATGCCCCCCAGGTTTTCAGAGTTTCTGAGACCATTGCAGAATTTGAATCACTATTCAGAGCAGATGCACAACTAGATGCGACAGAGACAGGGCTTGCTTCTTGCATGCTGCATGTTAACGCCAGAGTTCCTCAGCGTGACAGGAATTTGACCGCCTTCCCTGTCCTGTCGTTTCTCACCCCACTCTGCTCTCTCTCTGTCTCTCCCCAGGCTTCTCCACTCTTTCCTTGGCAGACCAAATGAGTCTATTGCAGAGCGCGTGGATGGAGATCCTGATCCTGCGGGTGGTGTACCGCTCGTTGTCCTTCGAGGACAAGCTGGTCTACGCCGAGGACTACATCATGGACGAGGACCAATCGAAATTGGCCGGCTTGCTGGACCTCAACAATGCCATCCTGCAGCTGGTAAAGAAATACAAGAGCATGAAGCTGGAGAAGGAAGAGTTTGTGACCCTCAAGGCAATAGCACTTGCTAATTCAGGTTAGCAGATCCTTTTGTGTTGCGCTCTTCGTATTTATTGACGGTTTTTTTTGTGTGGGCTACATCCAACAGACGGAATCCCTTGGGAGTAAAGAAAAAGAATAACATTTCAAATAAGCCTTTAATGAACACACTTTGAAGCATTAAATTGCCATGAAATGAAACGTTTTCCCTCATGAACACCAACATACACATGCACCTCCCATTGCAGCCTCTTGCTGTATCTTCCGGAAAATTCATCTTACATTCCGAGTAATGCAGTTCTGGGTGTCAAGAACAGGGGGCGATGTCGCTCACCATTATCATGCATCCAGTGCCCCCCCCCCACCCCGCCCCCCATCTTCCTCCAGTCCTGGCCACATCTTTGAACTTTATCTTGGTTGCCGGCCAGTAGTTTTCCCTTTAATTACAAGAAGGAAATGTCAATAAAATCCGCTAAATGGGACGCGATGAGTGGCACCACTGGGCAGGAAGCTATTTGTTCAAATTCTGCGCTGCTCGAGGTATTGACAGTTTGTTTTCTGGGGCCATATGTGATGATCAATCCCAGGCTGGGCTCAGCCACGCTGAAAAATGAAAAAACAGATTGGTTTTGCCTGCTTGTGGATAACAGCACCCTGTTCGGCCAGCATGGCAGAGGCCGACCGAGGAGTCGGACCCCGACTCTCGACAAATGATTTTTTTTTTTATTGATCTGGCTCTTAATAGTTAATCACTGGCTATCAATGCAAAGGCGAGGATGAGGTTTTTAAATTGTGGGGGAAAAAAGCTGATTTCATGAATAGATAATTGCATTAGTTTGCTTTCCCTAACGGTTCCTGACGGTGCGTGTGGATTTGGGCATTGGCACGCCCTGTGCGTGTGTGTGTGTGTGTGTGTGTGGCTTGTTTATCTCACTGTCATTTTATCCTAGCTAATTATCAGCCTTTAGCCTTATCAAGTTGCCTTTCATATACAGTAGGAGCACTTGATCATGCAAAGAGAGGCGCGTGACGGCAGAGAGGATATTTACATTTTGTAAAGTCATACCATCTGTTACGTGTCTGTCCATAAATCTCCATACTGTAAACTGTAAAAGGTTCTTTTTAGCCTATCAGCAGTTGGCATCTTATTTTTCCTTGTTTTGACTGGATGCTCTTTAGGGATATTCAAGGAAAATAAAAGTGCAAAAAATCCATCTGTGCATGCAGCTTCCGTACTAGTGCACAGTTGCAGTGACCCTGAGGCCTGTCCCCGGAAGCCCAGATCATGAGGCAGGGGCCACCCTGAGGAGGTGGGGGTCTCCATTGTGTTGTATTGATTTGCATGCAAAACATCGCACTACAGGCTAATTAGTAATGCCTTCCTATAAATGTGTAATCCCAAGGAGAGTCTGGTTGCAGTGCATAGTGCATGAAGTGGGTTTTAGTAAGTATGTTGAGATTTACCCCCCATTCTCCAGCATCCACTGAGGTCCTCAGGCTTCATCCTGTCAGCTCCACCTTGTCAGGTTTGGGCTGTAGCTCCTCTCCAGGGGGCTGCTTGCGCCATCACTTCATGATATCATCTCCATCGTGGGTATGGAAATGGCCTCCACTGGAAAACTTGCGCAAATCATGTCATTAACGTGGTGGGGGGGGGGGGGGGGGGGGGTGTCGGGGGTCCCGTTCAATCATGGTCATGTACAAGACAGCAGTGTAACGCCAGGGCAGGAAGTGGAAATGTTTCAGCATTGGAGTTTCAGTAATTATTAGCCCCTCTATTGGGTGCTGGTGTTGGAGACACTGGAAACCGGTTCCTCTTGCATTCGTTTTCCAGGCATACATCATGATCTAAGCTTCTAATTTTATTATACAATTAATAAAATGCAGGGCATTTGACCTGAGTTTGACCTGAGTTTCCCCTATGTGTC